ATTGTACTCTTCAGTCTTCTGTACAATCTGCCGCAGGGTATGTATGTGGTCTATGGTACTGAAGCCTTTTCGGAAACCGGCTTGTTCGGGAGGCTGGAAGTCGTCAAGTCTGCGTGCGAGACGATTCGTAATGACTCTCGAAAACAGCACGTAGACGCGGCTCAGAAGGGAAAAAGGGACTAGATTTAGTCGCCCCCAATCCGAGACTTATTCAGTAAAGACTCGACTTCAGACACAAGTTTATCCCGGTACTCGGAGACGTTTTCCCAAAAAATATTGGCTCGGCCGGTGTACAGAGCATCACCAGTGCTGTCATCTGCATAACAATGAATGTTACCAGTTTGCAACATATCATTGATATGCAGAAGAAACAGCGTTGGTGATAGCACGCAGCCTTGTGAAACGCCAGCATTAATAAGTTTGTAATTGGAGCTTGCACCGTCTACAGCGAACCTTGATGCTCCGATCTGCAAAAAAGCTGGTGATCTAATTGCACAATTTCTCGGGAAGCCCATAGGAAGGGAGCTTCGAAAGAAGCGATTTGTGCCAAACCCGATCGAAGGCTTTCGCAATGTCCAAACTAACGGCAAATGCCTCCTTTTGCTCTACTGCCTCCGCACATTTATGAGTCAGGTAGACCAGAAGATCACCAGCTGATCCACCACGACGACAACCGTATTGTATACTTCGTATACCTCGGCTCGAGGTACCTCATGAGCTGGCAGTTTACAATGGACTCCATTGTTTTGGAGAACAAGGAGGTGATGGCGATAGGCCTGTAGTTTGACGGATCTGAGCCGTCGCCTATTTTGGGAATCGGGTGGACGAAAGCCGTCGACTACGTCTAGGGAGTAGGAGTACCGGAAAAGACGCGTTAGAACCGGTGCCAACTCTGAAGCACACGTCCTCAGCACAATTGGGGAGATTCCGTCAGGCCCACTCGACTTGTGGATGTCCAAGAAGAGGAGTACTTTGCGAAATGAGCGCTGTGTGAACCGCACCTCCAGCACGGAGCGCTCACACCGCAGGATAGTCGGCGGCGTACTCCCCCCGTCATCGAGAGTCGAGTTGGACGCAAAGAAAGCCTAGCAAATCGGCTTTCTCCTTTGCGTCATGGGCCACTGAGTCGTCCTCCCTGTGCAGAGATGGAAAAGATGGCTGACAGAAATTCCCTTGGACAGCCTTGGCGAGAGACCAGAATGCACGAGTTCCAGAAGGAAGGTGAACTAGTTTCACGCCAATTCTGCCTATGTGCTCTGACTTTGCCTTGAGAATGACACTTTTGAAGGACCTGGAGGCAGAATTATACTTCTTTTTTAATGCACTGGGGTATACATTCCGGGACGTTGATGCGTCAGCCCAGGCCCGGTAGCACTCCTGCTTATAGCGTAGTGCTATTTTACAGGAGCGACTAAACCGTGGCTGAAATTTGCCTCCGATGGGCATCACATAAGAAGGAATAAAAAGTTTCATACCCTGAAGTACCACATCAGCGACAGAATCAGCAACAACTTTGGGATCATCCGGCGAGAAGCAAACCCGCCCCCAAGGGTAGAATGCAAAGAAAGACCGCATCCTATTCCAATCGGCTGACCTATAGTGCCAATTACGGCGGCAGCCTGCAGAATGCAACCCCGCGTGTCATATTTTCCGCCGCCGCCTCGTACGACCCCCCCTTGTGCCAGTACCAGCGTGTCGTCAGCGTAGCAAACTACGCTGACGCCGGTAGGGAGGTCGGCGCGCAGCACCCAGTCGTAACCGATGTTCCACAGAGGTGGCCCCAGAACCGAACCCTGTGGGACACCGCACGACATCTCTCGCCGGTTCCACTCACCGTTGCGACCGGGGTAGATGACGGCCCTGTCCGTCAGGTAGTCCCCGACTATACGACGGAGATAGGTCGGCACCCGGTGATACCGGAGTGCCTCCCTAATGCAACTCCAGGGCATGGAGTTGAAGGCGTTGGCGATGTCGAGAGACACCGCCAAGACAACCCCCCTCTGGCCACTGCATCCCCCGTCGTGAGGGCTCTCACGCGCATGATGGCGTCCACCGTAGAGCGCCTCTTGCGGAAACCAAACTGGTGTTCCGCAAGATCCGGCCCCGTCCCCGCAAGGTGCTCGGCGAGGCGGTTTGCAATGACTCTTTCAAAGAGCTTGCCCACCTCGTCGAGCAGCACCACGGGCCGGTATGCGGACGGAGTATAGTCGTTGAGAGGATTCGGCAACTGGGTCTCGAGGTGGCTCTGCACAAGTCCGAGGCCATGCACTTCCATGGTCCTCGGAACAGGCCACCACCGGGATCCTCAGTGATGGTAGGAGGGGTATCCATCGGCGTCGAGTCGACGCTGAAGTACCTAGGACTCGTCCTCGACGGCCGATGGAACTTCGTTGAGCACTTCCGACGTTTGGCTCCCAAACTGGAACGGACCGGGGCTGCCTTCAGGCGGCTCCTGCCGAACCTGGGAGGGCCAAACTCTTCCTGCCGGAGGCTCTACGCGGGGATCGTGCGGTCCATGGCCCTTTACGGGGCCCAGGTGTGGGCGCGTGGTTTGGCGCGGCTTGCCGTCCACCACCTGAACGCGCCCCAAAGGGTGATAGCCGTGAAAATGGTTCGCGGCTACCGCACGATCTCCCGCGAGGCGGCGAGCCTCCTTGCCGAATTGCCGCCATGGGATCTGGAGGCGATAGTCCTCGCGCGCCTGCACGAATGGCGTGCGGAGGCACAGTGCCGTGGGGAAACCCCGCTGCCGCGGCAAGTTGTCGCGCAGCTGACAGACTTCCGGCACGATCTCATGGCGACATGGAGACAGCGACTGTCGCAACCCCGTGCTGGGCACGCCACTATAGCGGCGATAAGACTCCTCTTTGAGGAGTGGCTTGAGAGACGCCACGGCATCCTCACCTTCCGCCTGACGCAGGTCCTCACCGGACACGGTGTGTTTGGGAGGTTCCTGCACCGAATCGGGCGGGAGGAAACGCCCGGGTGCTCCCACTGCGAGGATGGACCGGAGGACACGGTGGAACACACCGTGGAGGTGTGCCCTGCTTGGGCGGAGTACCGCCGTGTCCTCGTAGCGGCGATAGGCGGCGGCGACCTCTCGCGTCCGGCCCTGGTCGAAGCCATGGTCCGGAGCGAGACGAAATGAGATGCCGTCACCACCTTCTGCGAAGCAGTGATGCTAGCGAAGGAGGTGGCGGAGCGGGAGAAGGAGAGAGCAGCAGCTTTCCTCCCCGGCCGCTGCGGGAGACGCCCCGTGTGTCGGGGGCTACGTCGTGGCCCCCGGCCACCGTAGGCGCGGGCCTGTGGACGGCGAGCAATGGGTAGCTCGTCGTCCGTCCGTCTAATGACGACAGGCCGTGTCGACGGCGCGTTTTTTTCCACCCGCGCCTCAAAGAGCTGTCAGCAGCGTGAAGGGGCCCGCAAGGGCCGACGCCTGCCGGGGCTGCGGGCTGTTCGAAAGAGATACCGCGGCTCCGGAACGTAAGGGCACTGAAGGAACACGGATGGTTTTTAGTCAGTAAAAGTCTGACACTCCCTTACGCTCCACCCAGAGCGAAAGGGGGTCATTAGATGATTTTCCATCCGCAAAAAAAAAAAGCCTGCAGAATGCAACCGCGATTTCAGCGTGAGTGGCACCATATTCCGGACAAGACAATGGTCCAAGGAGCCTAAAGGGGCGTCGACGAAAATCTGATATCCGTCCGGATGAGGGGTCATCAGAAGGTCCAACAGGGGAGGTGCATGATCCTCTACATCTGGAATCCGCGTAGGCGAAGTAACCAGTTGTATCAAACCATATGCCACGGAAAAATCATGAACAGATCTCCCCGCATGATCGGTTAAACGTGAACCAAGCCATTTGGTGTGGTGGGCGTTAAAATCGCCGAAGATACACTGATTGATATTTACAAAATTATACTACGTTATCGTTATTTACAAATAAAAATTACTATTTTCAGCGATATCGCAGTAATTGTTCAAAATGTTTACAGTTTCCTTCTAAACACAAACTGGCACGTCTTTGTAAATGGTTTGCAAAACTTCGAAGCGTGTGTCTATCACTTTGTATCGCATTAAATGCGTCTATGATACGCTGCTTTAAAGCAGTAAGTCTTAGTGTTCACTTAAGAGCTTCTTAAGTGTAGACTAATCGTTTTAGTTCGGCCCACAAATAAAAGTTTAGAGGTGTTAGGTTTGGTGATCTCGCTTGCCAGTTCACAGGTCAACCACGACCTATCCACCTATCACCGAATTGGCTCGTCGTTGGAGTAATATACACACGCGGATATAAACAATACGATGGCACGCGACGTCACGCCACAGCGTATAAAAGGTAACTGAAGGGTTGAGAGCGCGGGCGGCTTTGCCCCTGAGTCTGTGAACCTGCGAAGTGTCACGGTCAACGATGCCTACTATTATTTTTGTTTTATTGCCGTTTGTAAAGTAGGGTTTATATGATTTGAATTTCGATACATTTTAATTAATTTTATTTATTTAATTCAAAATTTTTGTTATTATTTTTTTGTAAAATATCAGTGCCATCTGATTTTCTGAGAAGGCTTCTATTCCGTTCACGTGTTACATCCAATTTTTTTCCAGGTGGTGAAAAAGATCATCCATTATATATTTAATATATGTTACACGATATAAGTATTATGCTTCGCATCTGCCGACAGTTGTGTTTTGCCACCCAGGGTGGCCTAGCAGAAAATGCCACCCTATGTACCCTTTACTTTAGAATGTTAAGTTTTCTAAATAAATTTAAAAAAGAGCTTAGGTACAGTATCTTGAAGTCCATGAATATAAGTAAAATGAAATAAAAAAATTACATATATTAAGTATAGAATGTGTCTACTCAATTTGTAAAAAAAGTAATATATTATAATTGTCTCACAGTTCCTATGTTCCTAACATGCTTACAGAAGACTCCAACTAAGATGCTCAACTGTAAATTTAGCTTATTATTAAAAAAATATTTTCATGATTTTGTTTTACAGGGCAAGAACTTATTTAGAAGGAGGAGTGTTTTTTGTGTCAACTCGGATTTTGGTTGTGGATTTATTAAAAAATAGAGTTCCAGTTACACATATTACTGGCATAATAGTGTTAAGGGCACACACTGTTCTAGAATCATGTCAAGAAGCATTTGTGCTTAGGTTGTATAGACAGAAAAATAAGGTATGCAAATTTGTTATTTTATGTTTTAATCCGCCCCATTCAGATTATCAAAGACCTTTGTTTTACGAGTATAAATTTATCGTTTTATAAAAAAAAATCCCTAGTTTTTAAGACGAAATGTAACCTGAAGTGATTCAGGTTATATTTATGTCCAAAAAATAATAATGTGGAGGTAGCCATGGTTAACTATGATATTGGAACGTCGAACAACAAATTTATTTTAAATCAAGGCAAATTCATACATTCTAGAGCCTTGCAGCAGCTATATTGTGGTTCCATTGGAACCATTATATAGCTGCTAAAAGGACCAATGTATCATAGAACACCAAAATAAAAACAGCAGTTTAATGGTGCTGTGTTTCGTATGGTAGATGTGGTATTCTAAGAGCCCCAGCATTAATTTAAAATTGTTGTAAATCGTAACCCTTCATCATTATCATTACATCCTTCACGAGTCCACTGCTGAACATAGACCTCTCCCAAGGAACCCTGCCTGCATCCATCCCAACACTTCGCCACAGTAACCCTTTTGCAAACCTTTTATAAAAAAATACACATACTTTTGTAGTTTGTAAGTTTTCTTCAATCATCCTTATATTATTTGATAAAAGGGTGAATATACGGTATTTGATTTGTTTGTGTCCCTGAAGGAAATGTTACTTGTTTAATTCAATATCAATAATATCACTATTTGACATTATTTCTGCATTTGTAATGGTGAGGGCCAGAAGATTTTTTCATTTTTTTTTTGAATTTTATAAGCACCAGGGGAAAATACCATTAGGGGAGTGACACTGTTGGTAGAATAGTGACAAGTAAAATCAGGGAAGTGACAGACCATTAGTTATTGGATAAGAAAGGCGAATGATATTGAATAAAACACATATGAATTATAGTCTTTATGTGATGTTTTTATACATAAAATACATTCAGTCTTAATACTTTCTAAGTGCAAACTTATTTTTAATATTAATTCTTAAATTTCAATTACTCGAATGACATAACAGAATTAATATTTTCTGCTTATCAGTCTGATCTGAGATTTAAACAAATATATGATAATAAAATTTCTAAATAAAACAAAAATATAAACTTCGGTTTCAAAACAAAACAATAGAAATAAATGCGAACCCGCTGCCCTCAGCGCTATAACTCATTGCTAAGCTACTGCGTTACGGAGCCGTCAACATTTATATTTTTAATTCATCATTATTAACCGGATCATTTTTAATTCTTTGGAGTAATTTTTTTTTGTAGCCTCTTCTCTTGTCCCTTGATTATTTTCGAGTACCTAGAACTAATGAAATGAATCATTATAACATTAAATATTAACTAAACAAAATTTTGTCACTTCCCTGGTGCGTTAGTTTCTTCCCTGGTATGAAATATACCAGATAAGTGACGCACATAACCTCCAAAAACAACATTACTTGTTTTTCTGACCACAGTAAAAGACGCAATAAAACTGCAGTGTGCAAATTTGCAATTTCGTAATGTCAAAATACAAAAATATATACTTACCAAGGGAATACTCCAACGACAAGCACAAACACGCTTTTCTACAGTGAATCGAAAGCTGACGTAATATTATAGTGATTTCTTATATTTACGCGAACACTACACATTGAAATAATACTAGTTTTTATGGAATTTATCGCGTATATTTAACTTTTTAAATACCCGACGTTTCGACCGCTTTACAGCACTCATGGTCACGGGTGGGACTGAGATGTTCAACGTCCATATGTCATAGTTTACCGCGGTTACCATAGATTAAAATTTAACTTTTGTTCCGATCTATGCAGTATGAACTTATGGTATCTTGAAGTCTTGCAGTTGTATGCTTGGGTTGGGATTTAATTTTATTTATTATGGGATCCCAAGCAGATGGTAGCACCCAGCCATCTTCTCTATTGAAATTAGGATGTTTTTTGATTTCAATAGCCTCGCGAATCATCCTTGGAAGGAATCGGTGTTCTTTAGCGAGGATTAGCGGTCTATCAAATCTGATGTAGTGACGGGGGCGATCCTGTACGTGTTCACAGACTGCAGACTTCCCGGAGCGTCGATTCTTCACATCAGCTATATGTTCTTTAACGCGGGTTTTTATTGATCTTTTAGTTTGTCCTATGTAGGAGAGACCACATTCACAATCAAGCTTGTACACTCCTGCATCTTGTAGAGGGACATTACACTTGACTGATGATAAAAACTGACCAATCTTCTTCAGCGGCTTGAAGTATGTTTTAATGGAAGCGCGCTTCAAGATGTAGCCAATCTTGTCAGTGACTCCTCTAACATATGGCAGTATAGCAAGTACACGCTCGACTGTGGCCGGCTTCACTCGTTCACTGTGACGTAGGCACGGGACTCGAAGCTTGTTGTCATGCAAAACTTGCTTGACATGGTGGAGCTCTGCAGCCAGGTGTTTACTGTCACAGATCCCTCGTGCTCTCTGAAACAAAGATTTACCCACGGTAGCTAACTGTGAAGGATGGTGGTGAGAATCACCGTTTAAATATCTATCTGTATGGGTCTTTTTTCTATACACAGTATGGCTCAACACCTTGAGCCATACAGTATTATTTCAATGTAATATTATAGCTTGTTTCTAACTTCACACTATACTATACATATATACTACACGAGTATTTCATGGTAAAAAACATACTTTAGCGGTTTTATGTAAAATTTTTAGTCTTTCAGCTACGCTAGGTGAGGTGACAGAATAGGATATTTTACCCAAAATTGTTTTAATAAATATTTCTTACAACGTATTTTGATAAAATAAGTTTCATTGGTTTAATGGCGTGAGTATTTAAAGCATATGGCCATAAAAATTACACAATCTGGTTATTGGGGAGGCCAGGGGAGTATACATTTATAACTATTTTAAACTATTAGTGCTTCATATTAAATATTTTTTATGAATTGACTTTGTGGGCCACATAAAAGACGATATTCTTTATTTCTTAAGCATACAGTAATAATAATATAAGCTTAACATAAAATTTGTCTATGGACCGTTGGAATTCAAATAGCGTATATTCACCCAAAAATATATACCTATAATGTAAATTAATTTCAATACAACTTATCAATGTCTATTTATTTCTGATTTATATGGTTTTTATTTCAGACTGGCTTCATCAAAGCATTTTCTAACTCGCCAATATCGTTTACATTTGGGTACCATCAAGTTGAAAAGGTTATGAGAGCTCTCTTTGTAACAGAACTGTACTTGTGGCCTAGGTATGTGTAGAATCAGTATTTAATAAGCAAAGCATATTTTATTATTCTTCTGGGCACCGCCATGGCGTAATCGTCACACTTCGTAGGAGTATTGATGATCGCTGTACCTTTGACGGTGCTGCCCGACGCCGACCTGGTTATTTCTGACTGACGAAAACGGGTGTCGGTATTTACGGTTCTTATAACACCTACGGGACTATGGAGTGTAGAGGTACGATGTACAGACTCTGTATAAAAAAGTGTCCGTAGGAAAGCGTTTAATCAGGGCGGCGCCACTGTCGCTACAGTCTAAATTTTAAAGAAATTTTTATATTTTTTTTATTGCACAGATTCACCATAATTCTTTTTACAATAATTATTTTATTGCTTTCAATTTTTTTGTTTTCAAAATGACAACGTATTTTACGGCGATTTATCATACCCTGTAGCTACTCGAGCGCTGTTGTGGAGAGTTTTTGAACTGTTATTTACTGCTTACAGATGGACACATTTTCAACTATTCTCCTATGGGAGATTGTCCTCCTTACCTCTATACTCCATGTGCGGGACAATTGGAGTGATGGATTCTCTTACGCCGCCACCATGCGGCAAACATTTGTGATTTCAAAAAATTACGAAATGTAACATTTTCTACAATGCGAACCTCTTCTGGGATCCACGCAGCGCACCCTACTAATAAACGAACGATTCTCTGGAGACTCACAAACACATGGCAGTATTTTTATTATACCTGTCAAGCGTGCCATTGTTTGCAAACCTTGGATTATTGATATTTTTTATTATTAGGAATATTTCAATATTAGAAACGTTTAATTATAAAAAAAGTTAACATAGAAATAGATGGAACACTTTCTAATTAAAACAACAGTATTCAATTAAAATCACAGTAAATTATAAAACCATCTCAATTTGTAATCTGAATTCAACTTTCTTCAAGTTCCTTATACTGTTGTGTGACTTGGTACTTCTTAATAATTTCATTTTATTCATTATCGGGCTACTCTGCTTCTTGATAATTTAATCAATTTATTATCGAACAGGTTTCATGGTGTTATCATCAATAGTCTCAAAAGCAGGCAAGCTGAGGTCGTTGAGCTACAAATCCCTCTTACAACAAAAGCCATTCATATACAGATGTGCCTTCTGGATATAATGAATTACACAGTTAAACAACTCAAAAGTATTAATAGAACACTTGATATGCAGGTAATTATTAAAAAAGTTATGTAAAAAAAATATTACAGCCTGTGAATGTAATTTGAATCATCGCTGAGCACAGAGTAAACATAAAAATTACAATTAACATTTTAATTGGCCTTTTCCATTTGCAATTCGTTCGCAAGGATTCTTTGAACACAGTCATATGAAATCCCTGTGACCTCAGCTGATTGTCACTTTGATTTGCCAATACATCTCGACTTTTTTCACGTTATCTTTAGTGAGGGATGTGGATGGGCGTTCTTCGCGATGTTCATCTTCCGTGGATGTTCTGCCCAGCTTAAACTCCTTGGCCTAGCATACATTTGTATAATAAGGAGAAGCATAGTCCCCCAATGTTTCCACCAAGTCGCTGTGTAAGTCTTTAGTATACATTTTTAAGACAGCTCTAATTTAGTTTTTCTCCATTTGGACGTTATCTCTTCGACGATTCGTATTCAAATGCATGTACGTCCCGGGAATTAAAGCCTATTTATATAACTTTTTAACTTCCCGATAAAAAAATTGAAAATTTTCAAAAATAGGGTAGTTATTGGTTTCACCCCAATTTTCGAAAATCGAGAGTTTATCAGATTTTGAGATCACAGGAAGCTATTCTGATTAATTGTGACACACACGTGTGTGCGTGCATGCGTACGTGCGAGCGTGTGTGCGTGCGTGCGTGTGTGTGTGTGCATAACTTTTGAACATCTTGACCGATTGAGATGCGGTTTGCGGCGTTCTAAAGATCTCAATGTGGAATAGATTTGTGATAATATGAACTGATTCGGACGAGTAGATTTTGAGAAATCTCAAAAATCAATATTTTGAAAAACTGTTTTTTGGAATAAATTTTAAACGGCGTTACCGATCGATTTCAAAAACTAATCAGCTCTTAACCTCAAAAAATTACGTCGAATGCCGTTTGGAAAATAAAAATCGGTTAATTAGTTCGTGAAATATCGAAGGAGAAAGAATTTGAAGAAAAAAAACGTTTTTTTTTAACATAACTTCGAGATTTCGCAACATGATTTGGTGAAATTTGGAGCACTTTGCATTTGGAATTAGCAGGAAGTTCCAGGGATGGCCTGCAGGGTCAACCAATTATTTTACATTTTTTATGCTGATTTAGTGGGTACCTACATAACCAAGCACAAAAAAAAACATTTTTTAATGAAAAATACCGATAAACGATTAACATTACTTTTGAATCACCCCTCGTCTTTCATGCCACAAAACTTTAATGTGACTCCCTTTTTTTAATTCACATATGCCCCGCCACATATCGGACTGGCACCAACCGAAACAAAAAAATAGTCAGGGCTTCGGAAATGCTTTTGTACACGTCTACCGTCTCACTGGCGACATCAGTTCTTTTCTTTAGGCAAGGAACACAGGCGTACCTTTTTACACGGCCACGTTCTTCAACTGCATTTAGCTTTCTCGACCTCAGCGACGGATCTGGTTTATGCCTCTTCCTCCGTAGTTCAACACATCTGTATTAGCGGAGACCGCCAGAGTCGTCACACCTCTTCCCCCGCAACTCCACCTCTATTGCAGAGGGCTTGACAACCGCAGTCCACCATTACGAATCTGGAGCCGGCCAAGCCCAATCGGAGCGGCTTCTACAGGCCAGCTATGTGGGTCCCTCTTATTTCACCATGTGATCAGGCCACGGCAACTGTACTATCCGCCACGGGTGGAAACCCGTTCGGAGGGATCACCTATTCCCTGAGAATATGTAACTGCGTATTCCACTGCTGACCGATTTCTCTCACGACAGCTATTTTCATATGCTGTCTAAATATATACTGCCTATGATATATATTACTACCATTAAACATGTTCGATGTAACGCTATGTGCCAAGGCTGGAGGTGTATTGGATGTAGTGTGAAAATCAGGAAAAATTAAAAATCACAACTAGATAAACAATTTACGTAGTCATGAAAACCAACAATAACTCGTACTTCTCATCTTGACATGTCAAGTTGACAAACATTATTGACATGAGAAGTTGACATATTCGCTCTAAGCCCTGGACAGTTCAAACGGCAGGTTCTTATCATATTGTGCTGTAATTGCATTCAGCATTTATTATTTTATTTTAATTCTGACTTTTATGTTTCCGTTGGTGGTATTAATATGTGGTAACTCTTGTTTTATGTTTTATATATATTTACTACAAATAAGTTTATAATATGTGTTTCCCCAAAAAAATAAATAAAATTTGGTTACCAAAAACATATTATCAGTGTGAGGATAACGGAATTATACCAGTGACGAGTGACTTTTTTTTATCGTCTTGTTATTACAGATATATGAACTAAAATCTGACCAAGTAGAATAACATTCTAATTTTAATAAATAATTGTTTTCTTTTTTTTTTAGGAAATAACAACAGAAAATTGTATAACAAAAAAATTTCATAAAATACTTCAATCACAACTTGATTGTGTATGGCACCAACTAAGTAATAGAACAAAAGAATATATTCAAGATTTAAAAGTTTTGAGAAGTATGATTGTGTAAGTTATTTATTGTTGTTTATGTCAGATTACATTAAATTAATGTAATTCTCACGTTGAGCATTTTTTTTAGAAACCTTATTCATGATGATCCAGTATCATTTTATGCTCTAGTCAGTAAATATAGGACACCAGAGTATGCTAAAGTTAATTCTGGATGGATTTTACTAGACTCTGCGGAACAATTGTTTGGATTAGCTAGAGGAAGAGTTTATAACAGTAAAAATGGTATTTTTTTATAAATATATGGAGTAAAATAAAAAATTACTATTTGTTTACGTAATTTATTGTTTCAGAATTTGATCCTGAGTTTTGCCCTAAATGGAAATATCTCAGTGAACTACTGTTAGAAGAAATACCTCAAGAAGTAAAGAAAAAGGGAAATGGAGCAGTACATAGTACAAAAGTATTAATATTATGTCAGGACAATAAAACATGTTCTCAGTTAAACAGTTACCTCATAATGGGGGCAAATAAGTATCTTTTCTACACAGCTTTTAGGCGAGACCTTACAATAAATGCAGTGTCTTCTAAATATAAAACTTTGAAAAAGTCTGTGCCTGTAAACACAGAAAAAGATAAGGGAGTCCAATCAAATAATACACAAGAATTAACAGATAATGTAAAAAATGAGATCGAAGATGAAGATTTTATGGCTGAGGAGTTAAGTAAATCGAACTACATCTTAACACTTAGCCAGTTGCCAGTTGAAATAGAAAAAAATTCATCCAACGAAAGCATGTTTGAACCACTGTCACAGGCAAGTCATATGCCCATAAATTTTAAAAGATTTCTAAGTAGGGAATAATGATAAATATCCATTAGGAGTAACATTTTATCAAAATAACTTTGGAATTTTTCTTCGTTAGCTAATCATAGATATTGATTTATTACAGCTGGATGATTTAAATATTACCCAAATTGAATCAGAGAAGCCTCTAATCTGCATCCAAACATTCAAACAAAACGGCAATAATTTCTCTCTTGAACTAACATTAGAAAGTTTAAGGCCTGAGTACATTATATTGTATCACAGTGACATGTCGGCTGTTAGACAAATTGAACTATTTGAAAGTAGGAAGAAAGTTGAGGAACCAAGATCCAAGGTGTACTTCCTTATTCATGATAAAACTGTTGAAGAGCAAGCATACCTGACATCTTTAAAGAGAGAAAAACAAGCTTTTGAGTTGCTTATTGAAACAAAAAGCGTAAGTATCATTGGCAACCTATTCGAGTTTTGCCAGCCCCGTGATTTTTTGAAACCACTGTTTATTTATAGGATAGGTTGACGGGCACACAGTCCACCTGATGGTAAGTGGTTGCTGTGGCCTATAGACATCTACATCTATCCTTGATTACGAATCAAAATGCAGTTGCGTTGTCACCCGTGAGGACTTATATGGAATGCTTCGTTTCCAGTAAAAAGGGTCTCCGGTTCTCTACACTCACCATACGAAACACAGCAGCATTAAGCTACTATTTGACGCTGGTATTCTGTGAGAGCGTGGTCCTTCTCCGGTCGAGCCGACCCATTCGTTTTACAACTATACTACTAATATATCTGCAGCATGGCGTTACCACTTAAAAAACTTTTAGGTACATCTTCTTTCTCATTGCTCACTCTTTGTGGTTCTTCAACCCATTTAATTCGTATAATAATCATCGTGACATCATAATCCATAATTAATAAATTGGTCTTTATGCCATTAGCATAATAACATAAAATATTTTATATGCTAATGCAGTGTTTGCTACATTTTTGTTGTCATTTCGCATAGTGATACTGTCTGACTGGTACACCGGATGCGAGCCGAATCCATGCCTGCTTAATGAATGATTTTAAAACTTGGAAATATGCAAGTATCATGTATAATGCTGCTGAGGCAAATACAACTTTAGCAACGGAGGTTTTGACTACTTGACAGTGATAAAGTTTTCGATTCATCTTTATTTTCTAAAACAGCACGTGAAACTCATACAGACCACCGTATCGCTAGTGGTTTGCTTGCCTCGGTTCCGTTTTTGGATTCGTAGCAGTGTGCTAAAGACATAAAAGAACTGCATTTAGCATTAGATAGTTGTGATGTCATCATTGTATAGAAACAAAGCAATATATTGCATTAAAGAAACCAATTTATTTATTTGTTAAACAATATATAAATTGCTAATTTTGAAAGACTTCGTAACTTTTTGTGGTAACAAGTGGTAAAATTAAAAAAATTATACAACTGACATCAATATAAATAAAATGAGGGCATGATGATGTGAAAATGAGAACATCATTAATGTTGTCGTAGTCAATTAAATATGAACTATTAAGGATAACTGAAAAACTAATGTTTCGATCTGTATCAAATTTATATGAGGATCGCATGTTGGGAGCACTAAGATCGAAGTTGTTGAAGAGAATGTTTACCTAGGGTAAGTAATCCGACTACGTAAGTCCCAACTTCGACCGAGAGGTCAATCGACGGATTCAATTCGGCTGGGCAGCGTTCGGGAGATTGCGACACATCTTCTCGTCAGGCATACCTCAAAACTCAAAACTAGATTATACAGTCAGTGCGTGTTGCCAGTGATGACCCATGGATCTGAGACGTGGTCCTTCACTGCCGGCCGTATGAGGAAGCTCAGTCGCTCAGCGAGCTATGGAGAGGGCTATGCTCGGAGTTTCTCAGCGTGATAAACTTAGGAAGGAGAATATCTGCAGTAGAATCAGAGTAACCGACATAACCCAACGGATTAGTAAACTGAAGTGGCAATGAGCCTGCAACATATCTCGAAGAACCGATAATCGATGGGGAAAAAAGGTTCTCGAGTGGCAGGTGAAGTGTAGAGCATCCCCCCACTGGATGGAGTAACGTCCTGGTAAGACATACAGGAAGTCGATGGCTGCAGATGGCTCAGGACCGTGCTTTGTGGCATTCCTTGGGGAAGGCCTATGTTTAGCAGTGGACTTGTGAAAGGCTGTAATGATGATGATGATGACATGAGAAGCACCAGCATTCAAAGAATCATCATAATCGGTTCACCTACAAAAAAGTTCTGAGGTAACACACACAAACACATATAAAACAGTTGAATTGAGATCCTCCTCCTTTATTTGTAGTCGGTTGAAAAATGAATTTTCGCCATTCATTACCAAAAAGCATGCTTACTTAAGGCTGCGCCAGAAAGTGATTGACAAGATTTCTCTCCTCTCTACTAATTTACACTCTTCATCATCATCATTACAGCCCTTCACAAGTCCACTGCTGAACATAGGCCTCCCCCAAGGTATGCCACACTGCACCACCGTAGCACTGCATTAGCAAAGTACGGTCCTGAGCCACCTGCATCCATCGACTTCCTGCATGCCTTACCAGGTCATCACTCCATCTAGTGGGGGGTCTCCCTATACTTCGCCTACCGGTACGAGGCTGCCACTCGAGAACCTTTTTTCCCCAACGGTTGTCGGTTCTTCGAGCTATATGGCCGGCCGATTGCCGCTTTAGCTTACTAATCCGTTGGGCTTTGTCGGTCACTCCGGTTTTATTGCGGATATCCTCATTTCTAAGTTTATCACGCAGATAAACTCTGAGCATAGCCCTCTCCATAGCTTCCTGAGCGACTTTGAGCGTCCTCATACGGCCAGCAGTTAAGGACCACGTCTCGGTTCCGAAGGTCATCACTAACCTACTTACTTCCGTAGGTCATCATTTACACTCTTAAAACTTAGAAATATCTATTTTAGTAAATTTTTTATTTTTTCATTTTTGAATCTCAAATTCTGTACATAATTTATATACTAAAAATGTTTTGCCTTTCAGGTGATGGTAGTGCCTTCTTATCAAGATGGAAAGACAGATGAATATTTCAATAGAAATATAGAAGAAGAAGATAATACAGTTGATACTCGGAAAGCAGGTATGCAATATGTTCTTTTGTTGGTATTGACTGATATTGTTACGAGCTTAGGGTTCGTGACAATAAAAACTGCCGATTGAATTACCAAAATTGAAACTTTAATTACTGATCATCAATTAAAACTTAAATCATTGGTCCTGACCGACTAAGTGCAGAAAGTTCGAGTGTGGACTTTTCTAGAAAGCTTAATTCTTCTATTCGATACTAGATGACACTGTTCTAGAAAGATCTTGACACTCCTATTTTTGATACTTGATACCAGATGGCGCTAGTGCCATCAACTGTGGCGCGCAACAATATTATAATATATGAAAAGTTGAAAGTTGTTCCATGATCAGTCTTCAACAAACAGTCTCCTGGACATGGACCTCTTTTTAAAATAGGGAGGATTTGACGAGTGGGTAGAGAGTGGCGGCGGTTAGCTTTCGGCGTTTAAGGAAGTATAATGAGTTTAGTTTGACCTGCATAAATGTTTCAGATCGTAGTGTTATTCCATTATGTTTTGTAAAACACCTGATCGAATGTACGAGAAATTTCTAAAATTGGGGTAATGAAAAATCGAGAAGCTAAACTGTATACTAATGTAAGATAACTACATAACACTGTAAGGGCCGATCCTCATTTGCCATTTACAGTTTGTTCTCGGTCTGATTTATTATAATGGAATGCGATTGAATTGATCGAAACTTACCTTACAGTATGAATGACTTACCGGACAGTATGAATGCACACACATATTTTTTACCAGACTGAGATCGGACCGAGAACGAACTGTGAACAGTATTATAATGAGGATCGGCCCTTATAGTTTTTATGCTAAGTATTGAGAAATGAACGGAGGCCTTAGCCTAGTTGCAACTTAACTTTTTTTTTAACTGTTGTTTTAAAGGTGGGCAAAACATTAACAAGGAGAATCCCTTAGTTATAGTAGATATGAGGGAGTTCCGATCTGACCTTCCAGCGCTCCTACATAAAAAGGGGATCAATATTGAACCTGTCACCATTACTGTAAGTCAAACCTGCAAATTTCATATTATCCTAATTAAATTGAAACATACTTAATCACAATATATTTTAAACACAGTTGTTTTAAATGTATTGTGGTGACTGAAATGAGTGAAATGGAACATTAATTGCAAATAAAGCTAGAAAAGATAATATACCCCTATATAATCAAAACTTATAATTGTGATATTTCATTTCGAATTTAGTGCTTTGTTATATAAACACATCAACAGAATCTAGGGATATTTTATATTTCATTAAATATTATCTATAAATCTGTGAATAAATTTCTGATACAGTAAGTGGAAGAGTGATAGGTTATTTTAAGGTCTTTAATAAAAAAATGAAATACCTTTCGTAATGTTTTTGTTTTAAATAAAACTGTTAATTTGTTTTAATCATCGTATAAAATTAGTATGATTAATAAACTTCATTTCTTCTTATGAAAATATGAACTTCAATTAAAATTGAAAAAATCTTATAAATCTAATTACTAATAATCAGTGTTGCCAGCTCTTACATTAATTACACATCGAAGTCGATTGCTGTGTTATGAGATCCCATGTTCTTTGCAAGTGTTCGTAAAGTTGTTGTTCCATCGTCAAATTTGGGCGGGAAATCACTCCAAGCTTTTCGTTGTAACATGACCCAGGCATGTTCGATAGGATTTTAGTCGGGCGACTTTGCAAGCCAGTCCAAAACATGAATATAGTGGTCTCGGAGTGCGGTCAACATGAGTCGCGCCGTATGAGAATTGGATTTGGATTCTGTGTGGGATAATAACAGGCTCTATTACCTCCTCGTGGAAATTTTTTGCAGTCATGCTGCCTTGGATTCAAACGAGCTGGGTTAGTCCGCCAAGACGAATTCCTACGCACACCATGATTGTTCCGCCTTGGTATGAGTGGACCTAATGAGTGTGCCGTAGACGGCTAACTCTCCCTGGAGTTTTGCGAACGCGTGTTCTTCGAAACCCAAACCGGGAGTCATCGGTGAACAGCACCAAAGACCATTGTTCATCACTCCACAGTAAATGCTCTCGAGCCCACGAGAGTCGCCGACCGCGATTGCCACGTCGCAATGCTGGAACAGGTAGCGGTCTTCGAGGATGAAGACTAACTTCATGCAATCTTGTTCGCACTTTGTTGGTGGTCCTCCTGGAGCCTTTGTAGTAGTTGCATCGCTGTGATATTGGGTTGTCTTCTGGTGGTCATTTGGAGAAATCGATCATGTCTCCATTACACGATATCTACCCGTGCGCCGTTCGCCCACATCCCCAGTACTGCGATAACATGACCACAACCTTGATATCACGTTTTGGCTGGCACACCAGCCTCGACACACAGGCATAGGACCTCGTAACAATTCATATTGACTCAAATGACGACGTGACATGACTTACGAGGGCGGCACTGAAAATTTCGGGAATCAAGGAAGTGACACTGACACAACATTACTATTTAAAAATGTATTTATTGGGTGCGTTTGGCAGAAAAAAGCGCTAGCAAGCGCTTACAAGCGCTAAAATAGTATTCGCCCAGGACACGATTGCTACTTCAGTAGCGCTGACATAATCCGCCATTTTGCTTATTTAATTTGTTTGTTTTGAAGTAGAGTTTAAAAGTTGTTTTGTGCAATATTAGTTTTAAGTAATATAATGACATGAATAAACATATACATGTTATTAAAAATTCATGATTGGTAAGTTTTTCATATGAATACTTTACAAAAATATATTTAAATTAGGTTAGGTTCCCCGGTTAAAACTAACATCGTGTCCTAGAGGAAAATAGCTACTTACGATTTGACAGCACTTACCGCTTACGATCGCCATTTTGCTTACAAGCGCTTGCTAGCGCTTTTTTCTGCCAAACGCACCCATTGCTTTTCGAAGTATTCTCCGCGAAATTTGACACATTTTTCCATACGGTGGAACTAATCATTGAAGCAACCATTCCATTCGGAAGTTGGGATCTCCAAAATGGCCGTTTAGTAGGCTTAGTTTAGTAGCTTCTTCAGGTGATGAAAATCTCTGTCCACGCAATTTATTCTTTATTTTAGGGAAAGTATAGAAATCATTAGGGCTTACGTCGGGGCTGTACGGCGGATGGTCTAATAATTCTATGTTTTCTTGCTCTAAAAACTCTTTTGTTCTGTGTGCGGTGTGAGAACTCGCATTGTCGTAATGGAGGATGATGCGGCGGTTGCAGTTCTCTTTACGGAGTTCAGGAACGACCTGTGGCAAACAAATGCTAGCATACCATTCTGCATTAACCGTTCTTTGTCCCTCAAGAGGAATAGTCGTAACATGGCCGGTTTTGGAGACAAACGTGGCCACCATTTTTTTTGCAACACTCCGTAAACGAACAATTTTTGTTGGCTTTAACTCATTTTCGAACACCCAAACTCGTGACTGATTTTTTGTTTCGGATTCGTACGCATATATCCAGGATTCGTCACCTGATACGATGTTGTATACAGCATTTAAGGATCCTGCGCGGAATCTTTCGAGAGTTCTGACGCATCAAGTAACGCGAGCCGCTTTTTGCTCTTCACAGAGCGAATACGGTATCCATCGGGAAAACAAATTTTTTAAACCTAATTGTTCATGCAAGATTATTTGTATTTGACTCATGCCAATGTCTAAAGTTGCCTGAATTTCGCGGTATGTCAGATGTCGATCTTCCTCAATCAGCTTACGCACAGCATCAACGTTTTTTTGGTGACTGCAGTTTTTGGACGACCTTGATGGGGATCATCACTGAGCTTGACACGTCCACGTTGAAATGCAGCAAACCAGCGATAAATTGTGGTTTTGGATGGGGCTTTATCACCAAATGCAGAAATCATCCGGCCAACACACTGTTTTTGTGTTAAACCACTTCGAAAGTCATAATAAATCATCGTTCTTGAATTTTCTCGAGTCATTTCCATTTTCTAAACGACTAAACAAGTTTGACAAAACCTTGTGAAAGACCGAGAATCTTTTTTTAAATAAATAAATAGTATTCGATTTTTAAAACCAAGGAGTTTTCAATTAAAAAGATTTTAATATGACAGGAACAGTGGAAATATTCCATTCCCGATACTTTTAGTGCAGCCTAGGTAAAGCACACACGGCACGTTAAATTAAAAAAGAAAAACAATCTAATCTCTTCATTAATTAATATCAGTAGAACAATTTCAATTTTCCTTGACGTAACGACACACAATTTTCCTGTCTTGTTTTTTATAAAAATTTTAAAATTTTGAAAATAGAATAAATGAGATTTTAATCTGTATATAAACTTTTTATGAAATCTAAAAAGATTTTAAATTATTGGGTGTTTTTTTGCTGCATTAGAAGTTTCGGCGGTTGTTGTCTATGGTTTGAAAGTTGAGAACGTCAAACTGTGTTGACATTTCTGTTCAGTAAGGTAATCTGTTGCCTGCTCGGTCATTTTAAAGATCGCTCCGTATGAACTAGTCATTTCGAACTAGTTCGTTCTATGAGTTCTATTCGGTCATCAGTACCATTAACCTGTTTAAATTGTACCTATTTTTGTGGGTATGGTTATCTCAGTGAGTTACTGACTGAATCAGAGGCATTCATTGGCTCTTGTCTACGCTAGTACTTGTTATTAGTTTGTGCTCTTGTCCTTGATTGGCTACTGACCGACTCTCGAGTTACGTTTACGTTTGGTATTGGCGTCTTGCGAGTGTAGGTGTAGGTGTAGGAACGAAAAGAGCTGTTAGACCGATTAACAATCAGCATTCGGAAACGTTTCGTTTAGTACAGTGCCAAGATACGTTTCCTAATCGTTCATCGTTCGCGAACTACACAAGACTACAGTAATTTTCTAATGTTGTAAGGTATGGTAATTTAGCTTGCTACATATCTGTTTATCTATGGGTATTCACATTGAGCTATTATGTACTACGTACTAGAGGAGACACTGCATTCAGCTACTCTGTTCCACTCAACTGCGGTGCATGCACTGCACTTTAATCAGTCACTCGCTAGGCGCTTGTAGAGTTGTCACGTGTTGTGTTGATTTAAAAAAAAATCTCTTGATAAAAATATGCCGTCTTGTGTACTTAGATATTGCACAAATAATTCAAGAAATGTCAGTAAAAACCAAGGAATTACTTTTCATCGGTTAATAAGATACTTATTCAATAAAAAAGTATTATAAATTAATAATAAAGCAAATTATTCCTAAGACGCCATCTCGTATCATTGAATATAGATTATGAAATTAATATGTTCAGATGCGACATTTCTGTGGGTACTTAAGTTTAGGACGAATATATTATTATACTACACATTTTTTTTGTAGAAACATATAAGTTATTATAATTAAGCTAAATTTTTCATGTTTAAATCTGCTTATTATTCTTTTATTTTATTTTTAGGTTTCCACTTCAAAGTCAAAGTGGAATAAATTCGTCCATTATTAACTCTCGCGTGCCCAGCATTTATGAACGATTATTTACAACATTTATGATTCTAATTTAAATAAATATATTTGTAATTTAAATTTTATGTTAATAAGTTTTGTTAAACATACATTTAGTACGTTTTTTTATATTTGACATAGATACCTTTTAAAATATTCAGATAACAATATCATCAAAATGTAATTCTGACAAAATATTATGTAATATTATATTAAATTAGCACATATACAAAATAAAAAACAATTTAAAAAATTGTAAGTACTCGATATAATTAACAATACAATATAAATAATTATTACATACTGACCATTCTACTTACGTATAATCTATAATAACAAAAACTGACCGCGCAAGCGCAAAGCGCGTTTATACCAACTGCGCATGCGCGACTCTACTATTACCGCGCATGCGCGAAGACATAGAAGTAGCGCACAATTTTTGTTTGGAATAGCTTCTCTAGTACGTAGTACATTATAACTCAATGGGTATTCATCATTTATCGTGAATCATTTAAAGCCAGGACAACGCTTCCAAATTGTGGAAATAAAAAAATAAATCTGTTCGCGAAGTTCTACGCGCGGTAAGTATTTTACGGTCAACATAATCGCCCTAGACAGTAAGCAATTCGTGAAGTTATTGATCTTTTTCGCTCTAATTTTATTCTCAATTCAAAGCCAATTAACAAGACAAAGGAATGTGCGTACCGAAGAGAATATTGTTGCTGTAGCACGAAGAAGAAGACGCCGAAATGTCGCCTTTCTCAACTTGTTGGCCTTTGCCTTTCGATTACGTGGAAAATTTTACGTAAGGATCTTGGCTTACGTTCCAATAAAATACAGCTCGTGCAAGAATCAAAGCCAAATGACCATCGTTTACGTCACATTTTTGCTGATTGGGTTAATTTGAGACTGGCCGAAGATGAGCATTTTTATCGATGAATTATATTTAGTGATGAAGCTCATTTCTGGTTAAATGGCTTCGTGAATAAGCAAAATTGCCGCATATGGAGCGAAGACAATCTTCATATCATTAACGAATCACCATTACATCCATTAAAGTTGACTGTTTGGTGCGGTTTACACGCTGGCGACGTCATCGGTCCTTATTTCTTTCGATATAAGGAGCTGCCGTTACGGTGAAAGACGAGCGCTATAAAACCATGCTAACTGATTTTTTGTTTCCAAAAATTAATCAGCTAAACATCGACGACATTTAGTTCAGTTCTAACAAAGTGGCACAACTTGCCATATAACGCATTAACCATCAATTTATTGCAAAATCAATTTGATGACAACTTTATTTTCAGAAGTGCGTACTAGCGTTACATAGCACTCTCGTGCGTGCGACTTAACACCTCTCGATTACTTTTTATGGGGCTATGGTAAGTCATTGGTTTATGCCGACAAACCGTTGACGCCATACGGCCAGATTTATTGGAAAAAGTAGTGAAAAATTGGACTGATCGAATGAATTATGTAACTCGTAGCTGCGGCGGACCTATGCCGGAAATCATATTTAAAAAAATGTCATGAAATTATCTACCAGATTATAATATTAAAAAAATCATTCCAACAATATTTCTGTCTTGTATTATTATTTAAAGTTGTCAAGCTCTTAAAAAATATCCTTTATAAAGTCGTAAATAATTTAGGATTAAGGTATCCTTAGATTTTGTTGATGTGTTTATGTAATATAAACAAGTGCTAGAGCTACAATGCAACTATATAGTGGTTGTGACTGTAAAGAACCTTTTTAACTGGAAACGGAGTATTCCGTCTAAGTCTCATAGATATCATCTGACATATCTCTTAATCAGAGACAGATGTCACATGATATCTATGGATTGCAGCTTTTAAAAAACAAGAACAACAGTGAACGATACGTTATGAGTATGAAATATTCCAACTGTATTCTGGGGTAACAACGCATTTGAACCCTTTCAAGTTCCCAGGAGTTGCAGTGGCCACTTCAAGCTTTTAATATTATTATAACAAAACTATCTTTGGCGCGAATTAACTCTTTGAACAAAAATAATTTTATTTGAGCATTTTGTTTTTATGTATCGCAGATTGGCGACTACATACTGACGCCAGACATATGTGTCGAACGGAAATCAATATCAGATTTGATAGGTTCCCTGAACTCCGGGCGTCTCTACACGCAGTGCACTCAAATGTGTCGCAACTACAGCCGCCCGATATTACTCATTGAGTTCGACCAAAATAAGCCGTTTAATTTACAGGTAACTAGTGTATACCACCCGGTTGAGCTAAGTTTGCACCTCACTGCAATGCGAGGCCGTCCGTTTCTTTCCTCTCAACCGCCCGTTCATACAGTCACGTCAATACGATCTGCATCTTTGTTACCGGTAAACACGTCATAATTTTCGTCTCCTATTTGTTTAGTTTTTGGATTATTTTTGTTGTGTCATCCGCACCAAGTGCAAACTTACTCTACCGAGTTGTAATTAGTGCCATTTTAATTGTTTAAAATAAATTAATCTTAGTATAGTTATGAGGCCCTTTATTACAGCAACCTCGTCGGCCCTCATAATTCTTTATCTGAGGCGTACATACCCTTTTTTAGGAAAAATACTTCGCATACCCGTTTCTCGAGGCACATCGGAACGACAAACCTTTTTTTCACTTTAAGCAAAGTGCTTTGGGTCATAGGCGCGCCTTCCTACACGGTCTCGATCTCCACCTACGCAATGAATCCCACCTTGAACCCGAGCACGCGGAGATCTTGGGTGCATGACCTAGAACCACCAGCTTTCCTCGCTGCAGCAGTGAATTTGGGCTCCGCCAACTAATACGTTGACTGCGGAGATTGAGGAGTGCTCAGTGCAATAATAACGAGTCTACTCTTCTTCCGCGGCTGCCCCGCCAGAGTCGCGGAGGAAAAGGCTGGTGGTGCTTCCCTATATGAACACTCCCCTTCCTTTCTTTCACCCACGACTTCACCTCGGCTGCCACTGGTAGTGGTAGGATAGATAATTATTGCCATAGCTGCAACATTGATGATGACGTAATATATGCCGCGTAATGTAATTATGTATTACTAGGGGGTAGACTGCCTCGTTGGTCTAGTGGTTGTAGTGGTGCGACTGCTGATCATGAGGCCCTGGGTTCGAATCCCTGGTCGGGCCAAAAAATCAATTATTGAGTGTTCCGTCAAGAAATTCTCAGTAACTGCCCCCGGAGTCAGGAAGTTGGCGGTGTCTCACCCCCGTGCCTCGGAAAGCACGTAAAGCCATTGGTCCTGCGCCTGATCTCTCGCCGGTCGTGTCGGTTTACCGTCCCATCGGATTATGAGAGTGAGGGAATAGAGAGTGCACCTGTGCTTGCGCATAGACTTGGGCATTATAGTCCTGTCCTGCACCGATGGCTAGCCTCCGTTGAGGCAGGCCGCCGTGGCCGGAATTCGGTCTGGAGGACATTACTAGGGGTCGTAGTAACCTAGTAGTTGAAATTCGACCGTAATTCATAAAATTATTGGGTTTGTATATTAAGAAAACTGATTCGACTTTTAACTGCACATTAATATAATAAACACAGATATCTAATAAACAAAGTATAAAATTAACGGTGTTTTGCCTATACACTCCACATATTAAAAAGGAACATTTGAAATCACAAAAAAAAAACACAGCTTATTCAGACAATCATTTGTTGGCAACATTTAATATTCTTTTATGTCTTCAAAATATTCTTACATGATTTATTCACATAACAGGGTAATTTGGTCGTGTCCACGGATCTGTCGGGCGCAGACATTCGGCAGAAGCTCCAATTGTTGACAATACATTTTCCAAGACTAAAACTTGTGTGGTCGCCAAGCCCGTACGCCACAGCTGAACTTTTTTATGAGTTGAAGGCAAGTAATTTTTAAGGTTTCTAATTATGTCCGTAAAATGTCCGCCGCTGGACATAAGCGTGTCCTATAGTAGGGAGGGGGGATTGTTTTTATACAATAGCGAATAGCAACGGAAAGCTTTTGAAGAAGATGAAGAAGCTAAACAATAAATAATTTAGTTATGGAAATGTTAACTCACACGTACTGTACAATATAACGGATCGTAACTGAAAATGTAACGTTTCCTCAATATAAAAACCCGACACTAGTCAACAATTACGACAAGCCTTGCAGAAGATAGTTAATAATTTTCATACATCTCAACCTTCCGCATTGAGGCGTGTGTTCAATACTGTAATATCAACTATGTGGGTGCAGTAAAATGTACTTTGTGAACTCCTGGCTTCGTATCCCGACCGGTACTAACATTTCACAACGATGTGTTATTTGTCTTTGGATTTTCAGTGCAATTGTGTAACTCTGGCGGAAATCATGGTTGGCTTCGTTTTAACGTTAGGTTTCGTTTTATTATGTATATCAATATAGATTATAAGCAATAACTGTTATAGTGTAAAAACATAATGAAGTTATTTTGCGACTTTCACTGGCAACGATCGATTCTCACCAGTTACACAATCGCACTGCAAGTTATTTTAAAATTTTGAATGTAAATTCAATGAAAAATAACATTTTTTAGTAAAATCTCAATTTTTTCTTAATTCCTCAATTTTGCCTGTCCTAAGCCAGGTTGAAAGTATGAAGGAAAAGTTACATCACAAGTTATGTGTACCTATTGTGTTTTTATTGGAATTTTGTGTAGGTAGCTAGCGCGGGCGGTGATCTTTACCGTGATTACGTCACTCGGGCGCATAGCGTATCGAAAGAAATAAGTAAAGAATAGAAACTTTTTAAATTTTATGAAAGAAAATAACGTTTTTTTTAAATTCATTGAATTTACGTTTTATAAGTGAAACCAAACCACTGGTTTCAAGGATAACGGTGTTTACACTAACAGCCTGTATAACCGACGGCCTCCTAGGCTAAAGATCCTACTACCTATAAAAAATGCAGTTTTATTCAGCAGATGCCACCTGCTGACAGACAAGGTCTTAACGACTTTCAGCTCACTCAAAAAAGGCAAAACAGCTTTTACTATAAAATTAAAAGCCAACTTCAAAGAACTAAAAAGAGTAGAATAATTTTATCATAGCAACTTCTTAAGTTGGGGCTTCAATTCTTCTATACAGTTTCTGCTCAGAAATCAGAAGCCATTATTTTTTCATTATTTTTTGTACTTCGAATTCAACTTAATTTTCATTAAGTTGGAAGTTCGTTTTATAGTTTGTGGTAGTTTTATCTCGATAATAATATTGTTATTGCAAGATAAATTATATTTAATGTGTAATCTTATTTTATGTATTATTTTAGCAAGGCAGAAAGAACCCTAATGTGGACGAGGCTATATCTCTGAGCGGCGAAAACACAGCTGATGATATGAGTTATGAGAGATACAACATATTAGTCCACGATTTTGTGCAAAAACTTCCCGGCGTCACCTCGAAAAATATTTCTAGAATAATGAACAGAGGTCAATCTTTAGACCACTTAATATCGCTTACAAAGGTAAGTGCGGGTTTTTCATTAATTGAAATTTATATATTGCTTCACATAGGCAAATTGCAGCACTTACTTATATAGGTAACGCTTATAATAATCTTAATATATATAAATTACATGTCACGTTGTTTGTCCGCGATGAACTCCTAAACTACTTAACCGATTTTAATCAAATTTGCACACTGATTCAAATTTGCACATTTGGTCCAACTTGAGAGATAGGATAGTTTTTTGTCCCCATTTTTTTTTCGAATTTAAGGATTTTTAATAGGACATGACAAATTGTCGTCGAAAACGGCAGAACAACGTCTGCCTGGCAAGCTAGTTTAAGTATATTTATAAATAGTAAAAAAGCAGTTACATAGCCTATATACGGCCCACAGTGCTGGGTAGAGATTATGAGGCGTGTGTTGGTGGAACTTGACATGCCTTCAAAATATTTTGATTCCTTATATATCTATATAAAAATTTTATTTTCAACGAGCGTTTTTTTTTAACGGACTTCACTTGTCTTCTAAATATTTTATCAATTTCTCACACATAGGTTTCCTCATATTTCCTTCATCGCGTATAAAACTATTTAATAAAATCGTAAGTTGTACCGACAACTGTTTTCTGTTTTTTTTGTGGCATAGCGTATGTAACTACTGTGCCGCCCCAGGTTTTGTCTATATATAATTGTATTACCACCCCGTCGCAAACGTTGCATCCAAGCCTTCGATCAACAATACCAACTAGATGTCGGGTCGGCGCAATAAATCCATCTCAGTAAATAAGAGCGCACATGAGACGTGAGCTCTTGCACGTGAGTGTAGCTCGCAAGGCAATAACGGGGAAAAGAACTTTATTTTTTATAACTTAAGGTTGATTTCACACTAAATGTTATTTAATTTATGTCGTTTCATAGTTTATGTTCATGCGGACAGTATTTAGCTATGATTTTGTACGTGACCCGTTATCTAGTTGGTATTGTTGATCGAAGATCCAAGCATTACATTGATAATGACCAGGTTCATTAGTAGCACTATAACTTTGCCTTGTGCAATATTTTCTATATTACTTCAAATAATATTCTAAAGATGTCACAACAAATACAGTCTTTAATTAAGAAACTTAAAACAAAATTGTCTTCTTTATAAAATAAATGTAAAATAATTCAAAATTGAAATATCTATTTATTTTTACATTTATTTTCAGGAACAATTAACAGACATCTTAGAAAATAGAGGGGAAGCAGAAATTCTTCACTCAATACTACATGTCAAACCTAAGCCAGATACAAGCAAGGAAGACAAGCCTTTCGGAAAGAAAAAATTCACTGGAAAACTGTTTAAAAGCATTAAATAATTAAAAATAAAACGCAATTTTAGAGCATGTTTCATTTTTATTTCACAACACAAATTTAATCTAATAGGACATAAAAAGAAATTGCTATATAAGGGTCTAAACCGCAGAAGTTTATAAAGATTACTTAATAATCAGTCAAAATCGAATTTAATGCCAGGGACCTATAACAATAATGAAAAATCTATATAAAAAATAATTGACACTAAGTTAACAATTTGTTATCAAAACAAATTTAAATAACCATGTACTAAAAAAATGAATGATCTTACTGAGAAAAAGGAGTTGAACAATTCAAATTGATGTACAACAATATTTTTACTTATTTACCTAAATATACAGCGGAATTTAATAGCGTATAATATACGCAGTATTCTGCAATATAATGTGTGAATATTCCTCAGACATTAGAAATTTTAAATACTTATAGTGAGCGCTTGTTATAACATAATATAGATATTAATTCTTATCCTCATTTATAACTATGATATGTGTTTAAACATTTAATGAGCGCCGGAAGCGACTGACGAGACAATAAATAAATACCATTATTAAAACAATTATGAGCAGTACATAGATGATTGTGGCTGTTGGCAGTCACTTACGATATTGATGACTTTTATCGGTGAGTGGTACGTAGATCACACTCATAAGTTTCTTGATCGTCGTCGAACCGTCGGCTGCCTTGTCTACCTGTAAATGTTTTTTCCATGTTAATATTAATTGGTTTCAGTTAACTAAAATGATAAATATAAATTATCCATTATTACATTCACAAAAAATCGTCATTTTAACCTACTCTCTCACACTAACGAAGAAAGACATCACATACATTTAAAATGATACCGAACCGTGCACAACTTCTTGACAAGCACCTACGCACACATCTTTATTCTTCCTTTCTTTAACAGCTCATAAAATTCCACAGCTGCTACCCATATATTTATGTGCACCTAAAACCACGTGGTTTTAGGTGCATTATTATGAACGGTTCGGTGTCATTTTAAATGTATGTGATGTCTTTCTTCGTTAGCGTGAGAGAATAGTTTAAAATGACGATTTTTTTTTTGTAGGCAATGATTTTACATGCGTGACTATGTACGTGAAAATAAGTTTAGCATGGTTTTCACTTGTAACTTCGTCACATGAAATATATGCAGCGCTGCGTCTATCTTTCTTTATTGGTCTATGTAGTCAACCGATTTTGGTGATTTAAAAAAAGTATGCTTCTTCAGTGATAATGAAGAAGAATTATTCCATCATTTATTACTATTGTTGCGCGCCTAAGTTGACGTCATGTACCCGGCACTAGCGCCATCTAGTGTCGGGGACGAGAGCGAGGGGAGCTTTCCAGAAAATGACATCACTAATCTTTCAACCGACAGCGCCATCTAGTATCGAAACGAAGAACTAAGCTTTTAGAAGCCCGACACTCGAACTTTCGGCGCCTAGTCAATTGGCGCGCGTATTTACTTGAATATTCTGGTTGTTTCGGTGATAATGTGTATTTAAAGGCGTTGCAAGATGCGATCGGGGAAGTATTGAATTTGGCGAGACAAGCGAAGCTTCGGAGCGGAATAAAGTGAATTAGTGTGATTAATTATTAGTGTTTTAAATTTTAATAACTGTAAAGTGAATCAAGTGTTAATTTCGGTAATTCAATCGGCAGTTTTTATTGTCACGAACCTCAAGCTCGTAACACTATTATTGTTTTAAAATGGAAAGGAAGAAACATATTTATTACTATAAATACATATTTACACCACCTTAATCTATTATATTACACTAACATAATATTGTTGCGCGCTATAATTAGCGCCTGGTATGTGGCCGCTCATTATTAGCGCCATCTGGTATCAAGCAGCAGAAATAGCAGCGTCAAGATCTTTCTAGAACTCTTCAACTAGCGCCATCTAGTATCGAATGGAAGCACTAAGCTTTCTAGATAGCTCCACACTCCAACTTTCTGCACCTGGTCGGTCGGGGGCCGGTATTTTCTGGAATATTCTGGATGTTTCGGTGGAAAAGGCCTACATAAAGTCGTTGACGGCCGCGACCGGGGCAGTATTGAATTGGCGATACAAGCGATGCTTTCGAATGGACGAAGTGAACTAAAGTGTTAAGTGTGATTAATTATTAGTGTGATTTAAGTTTTAATTGGTGTTCTCTATTTAAAGTGTAATTTTGGTAATTCAATCGGCAGTTTTTATTGTCACGAACCCTAAGCTCGTAACAAAATTAATGCAGCAACAGATAGGCATCCGACTCAGCATTGTGTCGCGGTGTAATAACCACAGCGCTGATATTCTGCCGGTACCCTTTTCAAGAACTCTCAAGCAGTCGCCAAACATGTTTTGTCTATTACTAAGTAAAAATTGAAAAAATTAAAAGTAGAATAAAATAAAATTACCAAATAATAATAGAAATAAAATACAGTAAAGGGCAGACTATTTATACAACTTAACGTTACTCCTTATTCGTCAAACAAGTCCAACAGTAAACTGGATTTTCCCGAAAGTCGGAGTAAATACAGTAAACTGGATTTTTCCCAAAGTTAAAGGATTTAGGAGGGTAGATCAATAAACACCACACTTGTTAGACCCCAAATCACAGTACTGGGTGTTTTGAAGTTGTTATGACGTGTTTATAGATATACAAACATAAACACAAATAGTTCACAAATAAGGCTGACTATATTTCCAATACTAATACCACATATAATCTGAACATAGACATGGTTAACTATGACATTGAGACGTCGTACACCTCAGCCCCTCCCCTTCTTGTGACCGTATGTGCTGTAGTGTTTGAAACGTCGGGTATATAAAATAATATACGCGATAAAATCCAGAAAATCTAATATTATTCAATAACTTTTATTAAAAAAATATAGCTGTAACAAACTTCGCCCGCAGGCTGAGCACATCACTTGTTACCAATGCTCAGTTCTCACCAACCCGCCTGCTTAGATTAGCAAGTACGGGCAAAAATTATAAGTAATAAAAATAGCATTAATGCTAGTACTTAAGTACTACCTGAGTAAGATGTTGATCACCACCCTCAGGTCCCACCGGCACAATAAGACGTCCTCCAGGTTTTAGCTGATCTATTAACTATTAAAAATAAGGGTGATATTAATGTATCCATATATATATATACATAATACCATAACATACATAATCATATATATATATATATATATATATATATATATATATATATATATATATATATATATATATAATATATATATATATATTAATATGTATACAGGATGTTAATGTAAACACCGTTGTCCTTGAAACCAGTGGTTTGGTTTCACTTATAGAACGTAAATTCAATGAATTTAAGAAAAACCTATTTTCTTCCATAAAATTTAAAAAAATTCTGACACAATAGGTATACATAACTCGTGATGTAACTTTTCCTTCATACTTTCATCCTGGCAAAAATTGAGGAATTAAGGAAAAATTGAGATTTTATTTAAAAAAAAATGTTATTTTTCATTGAATTTACGTTCTATAAGTGAAACCAAACCACTGGTTTCAAGGACAATGATGTTTACACTAACATCCTGTATATATATATACATATATATATATATATATATATATATATATATATATATATATATATATATATTCTCAAGCCTATTTTTTATTTGTGTATGAATGACTAATAAGCCTAAAGGATTTAAATTAGATCGTTTCAATATTAGCAGATCTTTACGCTTTTATGGACCCTACACGGTCAGTTCAACTGATCATTCCAACTGATCAATTCAAACTAAAACTGTTGATATTTTTTAAAATAGTGGATTTTCGATATTATATTATATACATATATAAATATCGGAGTTTTACATGTAAGTTTATTTATGGATATATCGAAAATCCGATATTTTAAAAAATATCAACAGTTTTAGTTTGAACTGATCCGTTGGAATGACCAGTTGTACCGACCGTGTGTGGCCACCATTCGAATTGAAAGCTCCTATATTCATCAATCTTCCTACTTCCCCTAGAATACATTTTTCATTTTGCCCCAGACTAAAGTATATAATCTATCCAAAGTTAATTGGCAATTATATTTTTCAGTTTAAGAACAAGAGGTTTCAACTGTTCCCCCAATTGGGGGTTAATTAACAAGGATAATATTGTTCCAGTATATACAGAGCTTAGAAATGCAATTCTTTCTGATTCTAATAAGCCAATCCCTTAAAAAAACATTCAAAAATAATTATCCTTGCCCACCTTGGTGGGACCAAGATTGTTCAGCAGCTAGAAAGAGAAGAAAAGAGGCTGAATTAATATACTCCCGTCCTAGGGCAACAGAAAACTATGAGTATATTATCTTTTATAAAAAAATTGCTGCATAAACCTTAAAATTACTGTCTGACAAAAAGCAAACTGGTTGGTTTAAATTCTATGAGTCTCTGTCACCTAGGACTCACTCACCTTGGTCTGGAGAAATGTTATATGTTATGTTATAATGATAAAATGACTCCCATGAGATTATTAAAAAAAAGTAAAAGTAGATAACATATAAGATGATCATAACACATACAATAACATTGAGTAGCCATTTAAGTAGCTATTTTACCAAAAATAATGGCTACCATAATTCTTTCAGGCGTAAACAAAAAAAATCAAAACACTGGAAGAGCTTTATGTCTTATAATTATAACCTATAGTGATTATTATATTATTGCATAACTAAATGTACTTATCTCATCTCATAATGTAATAAAACTCTAAACATAACAATTCAGGAAATAGGAAACCTGGCTTGTTGAAATAAAAACTGATTATATTTCTGTTAAATCATTAAATCTCAAAATTATAAATTTATGTTCAATAACATAAATAAAAAGAATTTTTTACGTTTTATTACTTTGCACCGCCTCCACAATAAGGATGCTATGCACTTCAGCACGCTGAATAACAGGTTTTTAAGGCAACTTTGATCAATAATCATTCTTTAGTAGCGAATTAAGCCGTAAA